AGCCTCTAATTTGGTCAGAATTTTTAAAATAATTATTTTTGGCGCCCCTTTCGCATAGCCTGGCCTGCCAGACTCCTCCTCTGTTTAATTCTGCACAGAGAAAGGATCTGGGAACTCTCCTATTCAAATAACCCCACCCCGTGAGAATTCTAACCAAGCCAATCAGCGCTGAGTAGCGTACGTCACACACCATAATGCCGAGTTTGTCATAAACATGGCGACTGAAGCGGAGTTCACTGCGGCTCTTTCCTCTGTTCTAAATTACTTGGGCACGTCTTTAAAACAACAAGTAAAAGCGCTAAAAGCCTTTCTTCTAATGAAAGATGTTTGTGCTATCACCAGGCGCCATTTTTGACAACAGCTTAAAACCTACAGCGTTGCGCACGTCACACACAGCGACGCTCAGTTTCTCATAAACAACGAAGACAGCGGCGGAGTTTCCTGTGGGTCTTTCCTTTGTTCTAAATGACTTGAATGTCTTTAAAACCACAACAAGTAGAAGCGCCAATAGCATTTCTTCTAAAAAAAAAAAAGATGTTTGCACCGTTGCCAGACGCCTTTTTTCACTACAGCTAAAAAACTACAGTGGCATGCGGTACAGTCGGCATTTACGTCTTTTTTCTGACTGGTAATTTTTGAGCTGCTTAGTCCCGCCCCTCAAGTGCCTCTCTGTGAGTTTCCAGACTCATTCTCTGTGCAGAATTAAACAGAGGACAAGTCTGGCAGGCCAGGCTAGCTTTCGCGTGGATGACATGATAAACCATAGAGAAATATATTTGTTTTGTGAGATACCCGGCTACGTGTGTATCTAAAACAAGTCGTTTTAAAAAAATCTTATTGTGACATCACAATAAGGAAATGTACATAGAACGCCCCTGTTCTGTCAACACCAGATAAGTAGTGGCTCTACTCTGAGCCCCTCTCGGATGTATGAGCTTCTCAGCTCATAGCAGCCAGTCAGTTGATGGGTTGGCATGGCCAGTAACCTCTCATGTGCAGAATAAAACCACTGAAAACTTTGTGAGAGGGATTTTTTTTTTTGCAAAAAAACTCCATAAACCACCAAAATATATACCGAGCGCAGCCACAGCTGCAGCTCGCCACTCCCCATGGGGAAGGGCCAAAAAAGGAGATGTAATTTCACCTGCGTGTGATGATGCCTAATGGGACTTTAACTTTAAAGTACTATTATAACTTGTTTAAAACAGTATAATATTACCCCTTTTAACATTAAAAACATTATATTCATCACGAATGATGCATCATCTATAAACATATTTAACACAAGTTCTAGTAACGTGATTGGTTCGGATGTCTGCATCCACTAAAAACACATGATCAGCGAATCTGAAATCTCACAGCCAAACATAAAAGCATGCACCGTATTCAGAGTCTTTGAAGTTTATCTCAAGGCTGAACATCAAGACAAATAAGTCAAAAAATGTTCTATTAATGATGACCGCTGCCCTCCATACAATATGTGAATTTACAACTGCAGAAGTGATATTAGTCAGCCTCATGAATCATTCATCCCATCTCGCTCATCTCTGCTCACCGGCCCTTCCTGTCTTGCCCTGAATCCATCTAACATTTACAGACTACAAAGGAAGTCTTCCACTCATTAGTGGATTATGGTTCAAATCTAACTGTATCTATCTGGATACATTTAAAAGTACTTTTTTTTTTACACCTAAATATGCTCGGGTAATTATACAAGCAGTCTCCTTTAATCAAGAAAAAATCAAGAATTGCTAAAGTAGATGGTGTTACTACAGCTGATGAGTTTGAATGAAGTGTGAATTAAGTGAAGGACTGTGTGAATAAAACAGAAGAAAGATCTGTTGAAAAGAGAAAGAAATCCTGATTGATGACGGTCTTAATCATGGACAGAGATGGCAGATTTAGGTTAAAAAAAAATTCAGATTTCCTAACAAGATTTCCCTTTGAGGTGAACGATACTAACAACAATACTCTCCCCTCAAAATCTCACACATTTTATGTAAATATACGTTTAGTTTTAGATTAGGATTTAAGTTTCTTGTTCATCCATTCATCCATCCATCCATTTTCATCCGCTTATCCGGAGTCGGGTAGCGGGGGCGGTAGCCTAAGCCGAGAGGCCCAGACTTCCCTCTCCCCAGCCACTTGGGCCAGCTCCTCCGGGGGAATCCCAAGGCGTTCCCTGGCCAGGTGAGAGACATAGTCCCTCCAACGTGTCCTGGGTCTACGTTTAGGTCTCCTCCCGGTTGGACGTGCCCGGAAAACCTCACCAGGGAGGCGTCCAGGAGGCATCCTGACCACATGCCCGAGCCACCTCAACTGGCTTCTCTCAATGTGGAGGAGCACCGAATCTACTCCGAGCCCCTCCCGGATGACCGAGCTTCTCACCCTATCCCTAAGGGAGAGCCCAGCCACTCTGTGGAGAAAACTAATTTCGGTCGCTTGTTAGGGTTGGGCATCGTTTGATTTTGAACATTCCAATTCCAATTCCTCGTTTCGATTCCGATTCCCGATTCTGATTCTTTCAAGACATGACATGTTTAACATGAGCCAGCTAACCACAGGTCCTACTTGATGAAATAATCTTAACTTCAACATGAATTTTAATTCTATGAACAACAACATCACCTTCATTTAGACAAAAACATGTTTGGGAGAAAAAAAGAAAAAGACTTGCAGCACAACCAGTGTGTTTGTTTCTGACCACAACCAAAGTCTGGAAGAAGCCTCTGGGATGAGAGGCTAAATGTCTCCCACATATCCAGAAACGTGCAGCTGTTTTCAGCTAAAACTCTCAGGATGATCATGTCCAGCATGACTGAGAACTACACCTCCATGCTGCAGCAGCATTCAGTCAGAACAGAAAGTGAAACTTAAATGTAGCTGCTGTCAGTAACAATCTAACAGATTTTAAACATTAAAACTCAACAGAAATAGTTCAGAAAGGAAATTAAAATGTTCACAACTTTGTGTGTGATTTATTATTATTATTATTATTATTATTATTATTTACTGTGGCAGAAGCTGGTGTGGTCCACCACAGAGAAGCTTCTCCAGCATGACTTAAATTATTCTACAGTTTATTGTTCAGCCTTCTGACACACACACACACACACACACACACACACACACACACACACACACACACACACACACACACACACACACACACAGAGTGTTGGTGAGCGGCTGCGTCTGACTGCTGACGCTCTCTGTGTGTTTTTATTTCTGCAGTGAGACAAACTCGCCTCACAATATCCAGAGTTTGTTCTTTAAAGCTTCTATTAAATCCACGTGTTGACGTATTTTAACAAGTTTCCTCTAGGTTACAGGAGCTGAAGTTTACATTATGGAGTAAAAGTTCGGCAGTTTGTTTATATCTGGGTGGGGGGAGGGGGGACTCAGTGCTGCACACCGACAGCTGGTGTGATCAGCTCTGATCACAATTTACAGATCACGTTTATTTTTCTCGGAGATCGGCCGCGGATTCCTCTTCCAGTCGGCATTCTACGAATCGAAACTAGGAATCCAAATAAAAAACTTTGAACGATTACGGGAAAAATGAACAGTTGGAACCGGTTCCAATCGATGCTTGATGCCCAACCCTACCCTTGTATCCGCGATCTCGTTCTTTCGGTCACTACCCAAATCTCATGACCATAGGTGAGGGTAGGAACGTAGATCGACTGGTAAATCGAGAGCTTCACCTTCTGACTCAGCTCTCTCTTCACCACAACAGACCGGTACAACGCCCGCATCACTACAGATGCAGCACCAATCTGCCTATCGATCTCACACTCCAGTTTTCCCTCACTCGTGAACAAGACCCCGTCTTGTTCATCAGTGGATTTTTTTATTTGAAATGAGTTAAATTGTGATAATTTAAAGATGTCCATACTGGAAACTTACAACTGAGCGTATATAGCTGCACATCAAGATACCGAAGACTCAATATTTCATGTAACTGCAAGGTTTTATCCTTCAGTGTAAAAAAAAAAATCATTTAGTCAGTTGTACTATAATTCTACTCATAAAACAAATCTAAGGCAGTCAAATGTCTTATTCTACTCTACAGTGTACCCCCCCCCCCCCCCCCCCCCCAATAATTAATCCCATTATTGTATTTTAAAGGGGCATTATGGAAGTTTGACAGCCAAAACATGTATAGAAATAATACATTTTTACCGTGATTGCCTATTTTTCTGTAAAATCACAGAAAAGGAGAGCTGCTCGGGTCGAGCAGCCTGCTTCATGCGCGTTCACGCTCAGGCATAGCCCTCCGAACCGTTCTTTGAACGTTGTTTCAGCTGTCATCAAGAATATAAATATTACAGGTACAGAAGACGTTACTGGTGGTTTAGCTCAACTAGTAAGACTTCGGGCTTTCGTGCAGAAGACCTGGGTTCGATTCTGCATCTGGACATAGTTTATTTATAGTTTATTTTTTACAATATTGGTATATTTTTTTTAAGTAAGATGCCCAAATTTTTATTTGAGACTCGCCAAACGGCATTGAATTCACAGATAAAAAAGATGTGGGTTCAACTTTCATTTTGGAACAATTTTTCAAGCAAGGGAAGGGAATGATCTGAGCATGCAGGAGGACTGACCCGTCATAAACCTTTGGCGGCTGTGCTGAAGAGAAAGGTACAGAACCAAATTATTTAATTAATTAGCTGCGCGTTCTCCTGTCCTCTATCCTCCGGGCCACACACACACACACACACACACACACACACACACACACACACACACACACACACACACACACAAGGGACTGTCTCAGCTGTTATTTTCGTTAAGGAGTGTGCACGTACAGCATGTGCGCCTCGTGCACGAGCCTACTATTGAAGCTGCCGTTATGCTTTTGGCCTGAGGGGGCAATCGCGAGCATAAAAATTCAAAACTCCATAAAGTCCCTTTAATTATGCACGAAACAGTCTAGTTTCAAGGTTTACATGAACACACAGAAACAGTTTACTGCTTAGGAATCCACTCACTTTTCTCCCTGCAGCTTGTTGGTTTTTACAATAAGATCCTGAGTTTGCTCTTTTGCAGCCTGTTGAAGAAAAGTTGTGAAAAGTTTAAATATATTTATCTAACTCAAAGAAACTAATGAATAATAGATGGCATAAAAAAATTAATCAAAATACAACAAACATGCAAATCCGACTAAAGTACCTTCAGCCTGTTGGTCATTTCTTCACAGCATGTGCTCATGGCCTGGACGTCCTCGTGGACGCTCTCAAGCTCCTACAGAGATGAAACAACAGGTTTGTTCAGATTCAGTTTTAAAATATTTACTTTACTATTTAGTAAGTCACCAGTTTTTTTACACATTATTTTATTTTTAAATGTAGTAAATTCAATCTAATCTTTTTCTTGTATATTTGTTTTTGTTCACCTTACCTCCTTTATTCATCATTCTTCTTTATTAAATATTTTTTCTTCTTTGCTCTTGTTGTGAATCTGATTTGTTGCTGTACAAAAAATTCTGCACTGAGGGACAATAAAGAGATTTTCTATTCTACTTCATTCTACTCTACTCTATTCTTAAGGAGTTTAAACGGTTGATAGAGGAATTGTACGCTTTAGCCGAATTTTATCTTTGACCACCTGGCTTTCTTCCGTTACTGTGCAGCACAACATTGCTTTTATTGACAATTTTAACATTTTTTGGAGCAGGAAGCATCTGTTTGGGCCAGACGGACTCCATCTAAATAGACACACTTAAAATGAGCCTGGCCTGCCCATGACCACCTCTACCCACCACACCACCCCCAGCTGCCCCAACCTCCTGCCCCCACGTCATGATGTCCCACCGGTCCAGGAACCTATGAACCCAGTTATGATTTTAACAGTAACTCACATATCGGACTTGGACCCTTGCACACCTCTCACATACCCGTCATCAGCAGAGAACGATCACATAAACATAAAACTAACCGGTCTAATCTTAATAATCTTAAACAGCTGTCAAGAATCTCACCCCCGGTAAATCACACAGTCACTCCATCTTTAGCTACTATCAATATGGCTCTTTGAAATGTTCGCTCTCTGCTGAACAAAACTTTTTATTATAAATGACCTAATTTCAGATAATCACTTTAAATGTGTATTTTTGACAGAAACATGGCTGAGTTCAGATGCTCCTGCTGTTCTCACAGAGGCCTCCCCACCAAACTTTAATTTTACTTATTCAGTAATTATTCACCTACACTTTCCGCAAAACCTGTTTTATTTGACAACTTCACCACTTTCTAATATAGTGCAACCATTTTTAGCAATCTTCAGATTTTATGTGTTGCTGTTTATAGGCCTCTGAGGCACAGTGCACTTTTTAAACAGGAATTTTCCAAGTTTCTATCAATTCTGCACAACTCTTTTGATAGTATTATTTTAGCTGGTGATTTTAATTTACACATAGATGACCCTGCAGACCCTTTTACCACTGAAGTTTTAAACATTTTGAGTTATATGGATTTTACACAACATGTTGCACAACCAATCCACGACAGAGGACACACCCTGGACTTGGTCATCACGTATGGTCTGTCCACCGGTGTGTCCTCTGTCGTGGATTTAGTGATCTCAGATCATTTCTGTATGTTTTTTAACATCACCAGCATAAATCAGCAAGAGACCTCTGTGAGAACTGTAATGAAGTGGCTGCTGGTTTCCTGGAAACTTTTAAAAAGATCCCTCCTATTAATTTAAATGCCCCCTGTGGTTTTATCTTCAATGATTTTAACAGTAGACTTAAATCTACTCTGGATTTGCTCGCTCCACCTAAGATTAAAAAGCTACAGCCAAAACCGGCTTCCCCTTGGAGCAATGAAAACTTAAAAATGTTGAAAAGATCTTGCAGGGCGGCGGAGAGAAAATGGAGGAAATATAAGAACACAATTAATGAACAAATATACACTGAATTATTAAAATCATACACAAAGCAGTTAGAAATTCCAGAAATAATTACTTTTCTAAAATCATCTCTGAACACAAAAATAATCCCAAAATTCTGTTTTCCACAATTACAAATATTTTGGGTCGTGAATTTAGTTCTCTCCAGAAAACCCCCTCGGATGCTCTCTGTGAGGAGTTTGCAGCCCACTTCAGAGGGAAGGTAGACACCACCAGATGTAACATTTTTTCCTCCCAATGTCATGCTGCTCCCGATCAATCTGAGAGTGTGTGTCTACCTGAGGAAACACTGGACAGTTTTGTCTTGGTTGAAGCTGAGATTATTGATAAAGTTTTCTCCTCAGTGAGGCCCACCACATGTGTTCTGGACCCTATTCCCACAAGGTTTTTTTACACAATTTTATGACTCATTTAGAGATGAGATTTTAATTTTGATGGACTGTTCCCTTCAGACGGGGGTCTTTCCTGCTGCTTTTAAACGGGCGGTGGTCAGACCCCTGTTGAAGAAGAGCAATATAGATTTTAATGACTTTAACAATTTTCGACCGGTATCCAACTTACCATTTTTAAGCAAAATTTTAGAGAAGCTTGTTTTAATACAACTTAAAGAGCAAGTCACCCCCAAATAAACTTTTTTTTTGCTGATTAAATATACGAGTGTCTAATCGTGCTGCAGACACATGCAGTCAATAATTTGGCACTTCAGTGTATCTTAGTTAAAATGTAAATATTCTGCCTAAAACTGGCAGTGTTGTGCCGTTGTCAGGTAAAAAGTCTGCACTGTATTTGAATTTAAATCTGCCACCGCTATTGGCTAAGAGGTATGCTATGATGTAAACTGGTACATTATGATGTCACAATGCTGTCGTGAGCCTGTGTGTGTGTGTATTTGTTAGCGGCTCCACCCTCTCGGTATGCCAGGCAACAGCATTTGTTGCATTTTTCAAACATGAAGTGGGAGTGGAGTTAGACTCTGGTAGGGGGTGACTTGCTCTTTAATGATTTTATCAACCACCAACATGTCCTAAAGAAATTTCAGTCTGGTTTTAGGGTGAACCACAGCACTGAGACGGCCCTTCTGAAGATTTTAAATGATTTTAGAAAAAATTATGATGCCCGGAGGGCAACAGTGTTGGTTCTGCTGGATCTAAGCGCTGCCTTTGATACAGTAGACCACACTATTCTTTTAACCCGTTTAAAACAGATCGGCCTCTCTGGTGTTGTTCACAGATGGTTCACTTCCTGACTTTTATGGTGAGTTTGGATACCTGTTGTTCCTCTGGGGTCCACAGCATCACATGCGGTGTGCCTCAGGGTTCAATTCTAGGCCCAGTGCTTTTTAACCTCTATGTGCTCTCTCTGGGCAACATCATCAGGAGACACGGGGTGAATTTCCACAGTTATGCTGACGATACACAGCTGTACATCTCCGTGTCTCCTGATGACGCACAGCCAATGGATACACTTTTAAACTGCATTTTAGATATTGAATCATGGATGACTGAAAACTTTTTCCAGCTCAACCAAGGCAAAACTGAAGTTTTAGTCATCGGTCCTGAGACCCAGAGAGAGAAACTTTTACCTAAACTATAATCAATGTATTTTTATCCGTCGCTACAAGTGAAGAATCGGGTGTTATTTTCAACTCTGAGCCGACTTATCCCCCACATTAAAAACATCACAGAAAAAGGTTTTTACCATCTTAAGAATATCGCCAGAGTCCGCCCCATTCGGGCCAATACGGAGACGCTGATGCATGCTTTTATAACCAGTAGAATTAATTACTGCAATGCAGGGTCCGAAATTAAATTTTTTACTCACCGGCCAAGTTGGCTGGTAGATGATGAAAATCTACCGGCCAAGCATATTTTTTACCGGCCAAAATTCTAAATGATTTAGATCTACCTAAAGCATGTAATTCTATATTATGTTGATTCCAAACAGAGTGACAAAATAATTAAAACATCAATTAATAAGAAAAACAACTCTTTTGTCATTTTTACTATTTATTTATTTATTTTTAGAGATGTTTTTATGAACTCTTTCAATGAAATCTAGTCAGACTCATTGTTTTCTCTGTCCATGAAGTCTGGCCTCCTGCTTCTGACACCGTCTTTGTGCCGAAGCATTACAGCCTCATTTGGGTCATAGTCCTTGATCTCTGGAGAACACAGCTTCACCATGAGAATATCTGAAAGTGTGTCAGGGCTAGGGTTGTCACGGTAACCGGTGTAGCGGTAAACCCCGGTAAAAAAGTTGACAATAAATAATAACAGTCTTGATTTTAAAAAATATATTATCTCGGTGGATTACCGTGGCTGCGGTGTAGGGGTGGTGACCCTTACCAGCCACCGTATCATCTGCTGAAGTAGCCGGCGGCACATGCGCACTTTGTTGTTTACGACCAAAACTTTCTTTAAGCTAAAGCTGAAATAATGGCAGGAGGAAACGGCAGCACTTGGGACATTTATTATCCCTCAAAGAAGACAAAGTCGGAAGTATGGGCATTTTTTGGATATTTGAAGAATGCCGAGGGACAGTTGATAGAAGACGGCTATCCTGTTTGCAGCACGAGCAGAAAAAGTGTCTGTGAAAGGCAGCAACGCTACGTGGCCATCATAATGCAGCCATTGTCTCACGACTCCGCCATCTCCAGTTCGCCACTTTTCACAAAATCTTCTGGTTGCCACTGGTCCTGGTGGTTATTCTTCCAGTTCGACGAGTTTTACTTTGGAAGGCTGGCTGACTCCAGTTAAAAACCGCCACATTTCACTGCTAGTTTTAACACGAAGCTAACGGCTAACTTGATAAACTGATTGAATGGGATAGGCGGAAATGACGTTGGATGCGGTGCTCACGTTTCGCGTACGTTTGTGTACGTTGCATGCAGGTGGGAGGAGTATCAGAAATCCATGGAAGATGACTGATAAACATAACTAATTTGGTGCAAACATTTATTCGCCAGGTGGCAGGTAGAGCTCAAAAATTTACTCGCCAAATGGAGCAATTTGCTCGCATTTGGCGAGTGTTAATTTCGGACCCTGCTGCAATGCCCTGCTTTCTAGTCTTCCCAAAAAGAGCATCTCAGGTTTACAACTTTTACAAAACTCAGCCACACGTGTCCTGATGAAGACCAGGAAGCGAGAGCACATCACTCCAGTTTTAGAATCACTGCACTGGCTCCCCGTATGTTTCAGGATCGATTTTAAGATTCTTTTAATGGTTTTTAAGTGTCTTAATGGTCTCGGGCCTTCTTATCTTTCAGAACTGCTTTTACTACCGTAATTTCCGGACAATAGAGCGCACCTCAATATAAGCCGCACCAGCAAAAAAAAAAGGTTTTCTACACACACACACACGCCGCACTCAAATACAAGCCACGGCGCAGCAGCCACATGCAGGTCTCTGGCGCACAGCGCATGTATGGCCATAACATAAGATAATTAGACAGAAAGACGCTACACGGAGGTTTTTCGTTGTTGTTTTAATTCAACTAAACGAATTTTAAACACGGGTGAACATGCCTGTAAGTTTAGAAGAGAAAACAGCACTGATAGCATTCATATTTCTGGATGGTTATAAAATAAAAACAGAACTGACACGTTATTACCGGTAATTTGCATGCATGTTTAGAAGAAAAGAACAGCGCTGACACAGCATTAATAAGCCCTGGATGATTAGAGATGTGGCTTCTTCTTGGGAGATGTTTAAGGGTGTTTCAGTTGGTGACATTTGCTCAGCTGCAAGCTGGGCTACACCCCACACCTTTGTGAGGTTTTACAGCTTGGATGTTTTGGCCCCTTCGGTGGCCCATGCGGTTCTCTCTGCTGGATCTGACTTGCCATGTTAGGTTGCAATCTCAGGCCAGGTTTGATTGCTGCTCATGGGGCGTTTCGATAAGCCCCATAGTACCTTCGTTGTACCGAGTGAATCGACTGAAAGGGAACGTTAGGTTATGCATATAACCACTGTTTCCTGAAGGAGAGGAACGAGGTACAACGCACGGCTGCCCAATTTCACAGCCCAGCTCGGTGAAGAGCGGCTATCGAACTGAGGAATGACAGTGACACGGTCGCTTATAAGTGGAGGGCGGGGTCTCCATGCAGCGTCACTTTCATTTGCCTTACAGGCGTGACTAAATGTGTCTTCAGCCAGGCCACACAAGGGCGTGATGTCCCATAGTACCTTTGTTGTACCTCGTTCCTCTCCTTCAGGGAACAGTGGTTATTTGCATAATCTAACATTTTGTTAGTGTCATGAAAACTTAGAGGAGTAAGAATACCACCCAAAACTTAACAGGTAGGGGGAAAGTGGGTGATTATCACAACAGTTTTGCAGTACATAACAAAAAATAAATAAAAATAAATCAACGTGAAAATGCATGTTCCAACTAACTTCATGCAGCCCAAGTTTTGAGTCTTATGATTTTTTAAATAAGTTATATTTCTAAAAAAAAATAAAAGTGTCTAAGCACCCTTGATTGAAGACCTGTCTTTTAAATCTTGAAATTGCTAAATAAATCTAAATCCCAGGGCTAATATCGTAAAAGAAAATATAATGCTACCATCACAGCAGAAATGACCAAATGCTACGGATTTTAATCAGGCAAATAAAGAATATAGCCATGGTGTTATCATGTTACCTCTTTCACATCTTTGAATATTCGTGCAAATTCTTCGTTGATCGTTAGACTTCTCCTTTCTATGTCACCACGGAGATTTCTCCTGGTGCGCAAACTGTTCTCATTAAAGAACCCCGACAGCGCTTTCAAAGCCTCCAGCATCTCCTGAAAACAAAATAAGCATCAAACAATGTCAGTAAATGAGTTGTCTGTCATTACAGCGAATCAATTTGCTTCACGTGAATCAAGCATTTTAAAGCCAGCTTTGGCGACAGTTAGCCTGCTAGCAGGAAGCTAAACTCTAACTTACCTTGTCATTGTCAAGTCTCGTCTCTAATATTTTGTTTAATTTCCTCGATAGCGGATTGTTGGGCTGAGAAGGCAGATTTGAATTCGACGCCAAAGCTGAGCTGTCAGGGGAGTTTTCTACTTTATTATTAGCCATTGTAAAATTCCACGTCAACAGTCGGACGACTGTTTTGGTCCGTCTGGAATTAACGTTCGTCTGGAGTCATGCAGCAGACCCAAACATTGTTCCGCCCAGTTATGACGCGTGTTTTTCTCTTGGCTGAAAACGAATCTTCTTTCATTCAAAGTTAATATAAGAATAATTTCGTATGTTATATAATATGCACATATGATAATATAAGTTGGTAGAAAAATATTATAATTAAACAGTCAAATATACATTTTGCCAACAGAAAATAGAAAAAAGATCATTAAAATAAATTTAAACATTATAGTAGTGTCCAAAAAAGCAACCAAATGAAATGTCTAAAAAATGTGTTATTATTACATTTTTAGAAGACCTAAAATGAAAATTATTTGACTGACTAACTCAGGTTTGTGTGACAAAACACCTGCGTTACCAAGTAACACAAAAACTATAAATCTTTTTAAACTGATTTTCATCTGTTTATCCTCTTCTAGGTATTACTATTAGTGTTTGAGAAATGTACTACAAAATATAATTACTGTCACAAACAATTTTTACTAAATGGAAAACATTATTCAATTTCTGTTTGATTAATCCTCTGATCATTATTGACTGACGTTCATTAAATGTATTTATTTGAAGGTTTTTTGGTTGGTGTTTTTTGTTTGTTTGTTTTTGGACATTACAGTACAATGATTGAACTTTTATGGTCAGCCTTGTTTGTTGCAAATAACCATGACATACAGTGTTTTGTTTTATAGTTTTATCATTTATTTTCAAAATTTAAGCAATTCTGTACAAAGTTTGCCCATCAATGTAAAGTAAACAAACATATAAAAAATGTCCATCCAAATTCTAGCAGTTTTTTGTTTTAGTTATTGTGTGCCTAACAGAACCATTGATTTGGCACCTATTTTAAAAAAGTCCCCATTTGTGATCTCACAAACAAGAAATCCAATATGCAGCATATAATCCCCTCTCACTTCTCCAGGCTGGAGAAACAGCAGCTCTACTCAGAGCCCTTCCCAGATGTCAGAGATTCTCAGCATAGAGCAGCCAATCAGGGGAGGAGTGGGCGTGGTCAGTTCCAACTTGTTTTCTTAAAGTCATACGATGCAACATTTTGATATTCTTGAATAATTTTCTTGAGCTAGTGTGTAATAAAATGACCCTTTACAAGGTTGATGAAATGTCACTCAGACCCCTACTGCCCTCTGTGTCCAGAACATTGCACTTGCAACTTCAGAGTGGCGGGCTGCCACCTGCTGGACTTTAAAAAATTGAGCTTACATGCCTGGAACTGCAGTCTGCTTCCAGGTTGTTTCCTGCATGTTTAGGTTTGTGAACACAGCTGATTGATTTCAATGATAAACCTCTTCTTAAGGCAGAGGAGAATTTCCAGCAGTGAGATTAAAGTGACGAACGCACAGCAAAGAGATAATCGTGCATTCGATTTACCCCGGAAGTCAGAACTGGGAATGATGTCACGCCAGAGTTAAATGCATTCTGGTTATCGTAGTCGGAGAAGTCGGGATTCCAAAATGGTGACGCCCATGAAAACTGCAGTTTTGTTAGCTCTCAACTAAAGCCTGATTTATGCTTCTCCGTCTGCGTCAGTGCGGAGACACGCAACGTCATTATCCGTCCTTGCGTAGGGCTCCGGCAGGCACGCAAGTACGTACGGAGTCGAGCCCACTTTTTTAAACATCCGTCGAACGAGATGATTACGCAAGCTTGTGATTGGTCAGGACGCCGCTGTTGTTTACAGCGCCGCAATTGCAAAGAGAGCCGAGGATAACTAGCAGCAGACACGGAGAAGCGTGAAGAATACCTCGCGAAAAAACTCTAAAAATTTGAATGTTTAATTCTCCCGTGACTGGAGGAGTGAAAAGATGCGCAGCAAGCGTTTTACTTGTGGACGGAAATGACAGGAAACGTGGGTTTAGAGGTGGGAGAATAAGAGACAAATATGCTCGTGTTAAAAGTCTCTTATATACACAAAAAACACAATATAAACACACTATCTTGGACCGATACATGACAGGATACCACAGAACAGCGCTACGCCCTCTGCTGTCCTGCCGGGAATTGCTTTGCAACACTCTCCAGGAGACGGAGAAGTAAAAGAGCAAAAGGCTTCCGTCAATCCGTGCGTGTCTGTCCCTTGCGGAGCTGACGGAGAAGCATGAACCAGGCTTAACACAGACAACTAAAAAGCAAGTATAAAGCCAATTTTCAAAAATAAATGTGAAGAAAGAAGTTCTTAGTTGCAAGTGACTCATGTAACAGTGATTTTAAATGCACTCTCATAAATGCGTCTTGTAAAATAAAAACATTTCAACCAAAACTTACTGTTGTTCATACAGAGAGCTGCCATTTTGGATGTGAAGGTCAGAAACTCTTCCGAGTTTTCAACTGGGAGGTCCCACTTTGGAAGGCGTTTCATTTAATTTTTCCTACTTGGACATTGGGATTTCTGAGTTCCGAGGACAAATTGAATGCACCATTAGTTTCACTTTTGGTTCAATTAACACCAGAACTCCCAAGGCAGTCATTTTGACTGTTTTCATAATTTGATATGTAATAACTTTAGTTAGATGGATCTCATGTTGTCCTGGCTTCCTGGTTTTTCCTACTTTTATGTGTCCTTTATTTTTGCTATATAATTTCCATAAAATAATGTATCAAAAAATAAATATAGCTGTTTTTGTCTTTGTCTTCCACAAGCCGTCAATTTGACGGCTCTATTGATTACATTATAACGTTTTCCCACAGATAATGGATAACGTCACCGTTGCTAAGCAACCATCTTTCCAGCTCGCTCGCGCGCTCCCTCTCCGTTCATACTGCGTGTGAAATAGAGGCTGAAACAGCTTTTAGAAGAACATTCTCAGTGAAACAAGCATGAGAAATGAGTCTGCTTCAGGCGGAGAGGAGAAAGCTGATGAAAACTGGTCAGTAGGAAGCGGCAGAGACTCTGACAGCAACACGGAAGATGACCTGGTACCCCTCGCCCCCACCCACAGAGAAGATCAGTGTCAGTCGCCAAGCGAACAATAGAGAGACTTATTTTCAGGGTTTGGATTAAAATTGTATTTTCTTACTATTGTGTTCGATTCACACACCCATAAAGACATAATTAATAACAAACTTGAACCATTTTGCTCCACAACATCATCGTCAGCCTGCATTTAATGGCCAAAATGACAGCCATCGAACTGACGTTCCTGGGAGTTTAGTGAAGTTAGAATTCTGGGAGTTGTAGTGTTAAACAGACTTCAGGGGGTGCTAAAAGCAAGTCAAACTGCCTACTATCCCTTTAAAGTGACAGCCCCTAAAGGGCTCATTCTGGAAGGTACTGAAACTGTCAAGAATAAAACAGCTGAAAGCACTCTACATGAGAGGGATTTTGTGCAAATAACTTCATATTGTATCACCCATAGTGCTATTATAACTTAAGAAAAAGTCATAACATGTCTCCTTTAAAGCCTAAATATTTTCTCTATTCTAGTTTGTTCAGTTATTTTAATTCATAATTTGATACAAGGACTCCATCAGGTGATTTACCTGCTTGTCAGATACACTCTGTCCCCGACTTAAAAGGTTTGATGAATCCAATAAGTCTATCCCGTGTTATGTACAACACGAAAGATTCCCTGACAACATTCCCTGGGCCATTTCCTCTGACGCTGCATTCATATCTTGGAATTTTTCGAGGCGTCGTGAATGTAGCAGCAGGAGGAACCTGCAGGAAGGAGAGTCAGCGCTGGTCCTGCCTCTGGGTGGGGATTTGTGTGATTGATGGTCTCCTCCCAGCAGCGTTTCACACTCTCCTCCCTCCCTCCCTGAGCAGGAATGCTGAAACCCAGAGAGCGGTCGCTGAGCGCCGCGCTTCAGTCCGTCTCTGTACCGCGGAGGGGTAAATCATTGATCACCGCCTTCTCTTACAAATACTAATGAGGAGGAAGTGATCGGTGTGCAGATAGTGCGGCCACTTTCCTGCATCAGCCGCAATCATTCTCTCGTTTTATCCCGACTGGAGAAAAGTTTGCGCTACCAGGATCTGACGCAGCTGGAGTCCGCGGATGGGAACAGCTTCTCAGCCTTATCATCGGACCCCACGTCTCCAGACATGTAAGACTTTTTCCTCCTCATTATTGTGGCTTTTATTTTCCTCTCGACATAGCCAGAGGATATGTTCTCACTGAGGTCCCCCCTGAGCAGAATTCCCTGCATGTTCCTGGAGAAGTGACAGCAGCTCCTGCAGGGATCTGGAACACGTTCCCCCAGTTTAATGTCCAACATCCCTTTAGTCTTGTTAATGAACAAGTCATAATCCACAGTTTGAAGTTTCACCAGGCCACGGGGTCTGTTATATAATTACAAAAGTTACTTTAAGGCTGCTCCTTGTAAACAGAATATTAATTATGTGAACAAGCTGAATTCCTTCTGTTGCAGGAGGGAAGAAAAAACCTGAAATAAACATGTCAAGTGCAAAATAATAGTTGCATCCAGCTCATCTAGCGTGAATTGATCGGGCTATTTTCTGGTCCTGAGTTTGATCATGGCAGCGTTTTGTTTACTATTAATCAAATCACAATTATATTTAATCCATACTGAATAATTACTCTGAATACAAACAACAAAGTCTGGGTGAATCTCCCAGGAAGGGTGAAAAATAGACCTCACGGATCAGGTTTGTCCTAAAATCTGAGTAAGTCATGCGTGCGTGGAGGTCAGATGCTGACCTTTTATGATGCTTTTTGTTATTGATGATGTCTTTATAGCTGGGGACACATTTCTAGTTTCAGTTTATCACATTTTTCTCGTTACTTATGCAACAACTTGTGTGCATGGATAATTTGTTTCAGCCTGGCTGTTTCTCTTCCTCCTGACAGGGATCCAGAGTCACTGCGAAGGTGAAGATTGCAAGTGTTAAATGCTCACGCCGAGCCTTCCAGCAACACAGCGACTGCTCATTTAACTGCTGTCCCTTCAGTGACTGAGTGAACCATTTGTAGACTGTTTACAATGGCGTCTAGTCTGACATGCACGGGTGTTATCTGGGCCCTGCTGTCACTGCTGTGCGCTGCTGCTTCCTGCGTCGGGTTCTTCATGCCCTACTGGCTGCTGGGAACTCAGATGGACAAGCCCGTGTCCTTTGGCACCTTCCGACGCTGCTCCTACCCAGTGAGAGACGAGGAGAAGCAGATCACAGTGATGCTCGAGCAATGTGGGCGCTACGCCTCCTTCAGCGGCATCCCCAGCCTGGAGTGGAGGATTTGCACAGTGGTGACGGGCGTCGGATGTGGCCTCCTCCTGCTGGTGGCGCTCACGGGTCTCATGGGCTGCTGCATCTCCGACCTCATCTCGCGTACGATTGGCCGTGTGGCCGGCGGCATCCAGTTTGTTGGAGGTGAGCACAGTGATGTTAAGTTTGGGTTTGTAACCGAGCAGGGGTGGTTCTAGGACGTGTCCAGGGTGGACCAGTGCAGCACTGACCGCAAGCTTGGACCCCCCTGCTGAGGGCAGAGCAGCATTAATAAGTACAAATTATTATTTTTTTGTCATAATTTAGCCTAAAGCAAGATGTGGAACAAAAGCATGAGAATGCATTTATCTGGTGTTGAAAAGAAGTGCTGGGAAAATACTTTCATATTGTTGATGTAGATAACTTAAGACATTTGAAGCAATTGTAACTAAATTACTATTGCATCATTGCATTTACTCACAAATTGAAGTATTTAAAGATAACGTTTTCTTATAAATGTGCCCCCCCCCCCCCCCCCCCCCCAAAAAAAACCTCCCATGCAACTGAATCCACCTTAAGTGCCTCTGGTGTCTATTAACTTTTTCATTCTGGTTTACCAGTTATTAAAGTGACAGTGTGTAGTTTCCCTGGTGATAGGGGGCAGCACACACCTAAATGAGTGCAAGCACGCATTACATTTGTGTTTAGGTAAGACCTTACCAATGGATGGCCATTAGGGTCAAAATCCCTGGGAGCGCAACCTCCTGCAAAATAACAAGAACATCAGAGTCCTTTTCATCACCGGCAACGAGTGAAGAGGTAAATGTGTAAAACAACAACGTTTATTAATGGTGAAAGTTTTGTAACCGTTTGTTACAAATCAGTAAATGCATTTTGTCCTCACGGGCTTCCGTAGAAGGAAACGTGGCAATATGGCGTCGCCCAGAGACTTAGGCCTCATGGACGTAATTTTAGGGGGGGGGACAGGGGGGACATGTCCCCCCCACTTTTTCCAAAGTCATGTTTTGACCCCTGCACTTTTTACCATCCAAAAACAATGTTATGCTATATTAAATTGACACTAGTTGAGCTCTAGGACCAAGCAGAAAACAACCGTTAGTGTTGAAGCCTGTTTCCTATTAGAGCATACTGTAAAGATACCCCCCACCCCATGTCCCCCCCACTTCCAAAGTGAAAATTACGTCCATGTTAGGCCTGCTCCCGTGTATTTTAGAACAGATTTCTGTGATTATATGTTATGAAACTGTCCATGTTTTTCAACAACTGGGCATCTTTTTGTTCATTTACAAAAACCTTTGATGGCTATTTCCAGAAATTAGTGGTGAAAACGACACATTGTCACTTTAAAAGTAATTCATAGTTGGAGCTAACTTTTTACAAACTTTTCTTCAAACTGAACACGTGAGAAGAAAAAATGCATAAAGGTCTTTACTTTGGCCTTAAGCCCTGTAGTCCTTGCAGAAAATTCCTGGTTTCCTCTGATGTTTTGCTGCACAGGAAATGAAAAGTCTCCTAGCAAGCTCTCGATTGTGCTTTTCCCATACTTTTTTGTTTTTAAGTTTAAAGAATTGTTCACATTCTTTTGAAAAAGACCGTTTGGAACTGAGCATAATCGTTTTAAACATGCATTTGAAGCCGTTGCACATCACTGTGGGTTGTTGATGTTTGTAACAAGCTTTGCTTTGTTCATAACTCAAAATGGACCACTTACGTGTTGCAAATATGATGAAACATATGCAGTTATGTAAAAGCCCTTCAAAAGCCAAACTTCATGCTGTTTTCCATTGTTTCCTTCCATTTTTTATATCCACTCTCTTTTACAGTGAATATTTGGCATTGGTTTCGCCTTTGCTTATAGTTGAGTGAAGTAATGGAAAAACCATCATGGCTGCCAATGAGCTTAAATTCCGCTGTGAGTTTGAGTCAAAATGTGTTTCTCAAAGTTGAAGAGACGCCCACGACCAAACTTTTTAATTTTTAATTTTGCAGAATCCCTGCTGCGTCCACGCTGCAGAACCGGTTTTTGTTTGTTTGTTTGATTGCGGTCAGTGGGCCCAGCTTGGCTCGGCACCAGCTTTGTTTACGTGTGCTGTTGGTTTCGCACATGTGCACTCCTGGGACGTGAGGTCTGCGAGAAGGCTTCTACTGAAGCTGCAAATTTTCTCTGCCCCATGTTTGAGAAGCTGCGGCGCTCCAGCCCTCTCATTAACTCCGAAAACGTTTGCTTGCATACTGTGGCTCACCACTCAGCTGTTTACAATATCCATCACTTCAGCTCGGATTTAGAATGTGACGGGACGGAGAGGCAGGTGGCGAGCCGGTTTGATGGAGCTGCCGGGTTTTTCCTGAGGAAAAAATAAATCTACAGAGGAGTACCATAACACTCCGCGTGTCCTACTTCTAAAAGGCGTAAAGGCTTCTCAGGAACATCAGTATTAATGATGTATAATAAGGCGGATGATTAAGGTGAAGGCTGGTTGGGTTACTCAGAAATCTGTCCTTTTAGGAAAGCTCCTTTTAAGCTTCACAGCCACCGCACACTGCAAGCTGCTATATGTGGTTGTAGGATTAAAAAATTCCTGTCTTTCCTGCGATTTTGCCTTTTGCAGACTCACAAATCCAGACACGCATGAATTTAGACAGTGGGAAAGTGAAGAGCGGCGACGCACAATGCAGGAGACGCAGCTCAGGTCTTTTCATCTTGAACGCTATAGCGAGCCAAAGGGCAGAGATGTCTCAGAAGGGCTAATTGGAAGTGACACAACTGAGAAGCTCTGTGGGCTGTTGCATGTATTGTCTTCTGTCACTTCCAAAGTGGGCCAAAATACCCGAGCAGACGGGGGAAGTTGACAAAGAAATAAAAAGTACCACACGATCGAAACATCTGGCATTTACTTAACGGCAAATCTGGTTGAGAAATTCGGATCTGCAGGGAAACAGCTGGAGTGGGGGTTGGAGAAGTGTGGTCCAATCCCGGTGATTAGCAGGAACAGGGCGAGGAAGTAAATGTGATGAACAGCAAAAGCGAAGTGAGCCTCGCCGTTCGCTGTTAGATCACGGTAGCATGCCCCTTTTCTGTTTGCCCTGATCCCATTGCAGACCAGTAATGAAGAGCATTTTGCCTGTAGTGGCTGTGGGGCGGCTGCAGAAATAATATAGGCTTGTAATTCAGTTTCCCTTCCATGAGCGAGATTAAAGGTGAAATGATGATTTACCAATAGTGCCCTATTTCATTAGCTTCTGCCTTGATAGTGGGGAGTTGTTGTTTTGTCTCGGTTTTCTTCCAGCTGACGAAAACATTGTTAATTTTTCATCGCTGTGGATTTTTCTCCAGGACATTCAGTTTCAGGCTCGGTATGAAGCTGTTCTGGCTCATGAATCAAAGGTTGGGATAACCACAGCTGCCTTCGCTTTGGCCTCTACATTCAGCTACGGAGCGATTCCATCTTTAGCACAACAGAGACTCAGACAATTGGCTCGGATATTTAAAGATTCTTGACTTGGATTTGGTTGTTAGGGGACCCCCACCTCCTCCCCTCTTGTGTTTTGGCTTTTTTCAAACAGAACTTCACACAGCAGGAATAAAACTATTGAAGATTTGTTTTCAACAACCATGATTTAGAAGCTCACTATACCTTCTTTTTCTCACCCTGCTCTATATTTTCTCAGTGCTTACTGACAGGTTGTTTATGGGGCTTTGGCATTTTGTTATTGGGTTGTGTAACAGTGGCTGACAGTTTGACAGCTTCTATGATTGTTTATCAACATCTAAATATTGGAGATTAAGCTTTTTATGATAATAGGAGGCTGTTTTCATTCAGAAATGTTTCTCATTGCTGTACGAATGTAAGTGAAACGCAGCGTGAAAACAAACCACATAGAAGCACAACACACACACAATTTATGCAACTTTTCTTCAAAGGCGTCAGCGAAGAGTTCTTGTTCCAGGAAGGGATTATAGAGAAATTAAATGGTTTCAAACATGTCCTAATCCAACCAGATTGGGTCCAGATCACTTGAGTTTGTCACTGATTGAAATCAAATCACAAGGGCGACATTGAGCTCCTGATCTCTATTGTTGACCTACTTTCTCAGGTTTCATACGGAAGCATATTTCCATTAATGAGAGGAAAACAAGTCCAAAAGCAGCATCTAGTAATAATAAAGTTTCTCGTTAAAACGCGACATAAATCTACCTTGTGTGAGAATCCATCATAACAATATATAAAGTTGTTTTAATAAGAAAGTCTCTCATAATGGTGTATCTTGAAATATCGGGAACGGTTCCAAAACTAAAACGATACACACTGTGGCATTCTAGTTCTAAAGAACAAGGCAGTTATTCCAGTTCTTGGTGTTTTAAAGCCATGCTATTGCAACATTTTCTTATTTTTAAATGTTCTGGAGCCAGTAAGTGCTAAAACGACTCTTTACAGGGTTAATGAAATGCCACTCAGACCCCCACCCTCTGTGGCCAGAATATCACACTTGCAACTTCAGAGTGCCGGTCTGGCCCTTCAGTTCCACTTTCATCTTTGTAATGTGGAGCTGACATGCCTGGCGCTGCAGTCTGCTTCCAGTATGTTTGCTGCATGTTTTAGATCATGAACACAGCTGATTTGTTTAATATAGTGATTAATCACTCCTGTAGAAACTAATGAAGGCTGAGGAGACATTTCAGCAGTTAGACATAGGCAGTCGCACAGCGAGGAGATGAGTTTCAGTTTTGGTTTCACCAACAGAACACTAGGAGGTGCTAAAGGCAAGCCAAACTGCAATGTATCTCTTTAAAGGGGCCGTTTGTAGTTTACCTGGCGATAGGGGGCAGTACATACCTAAATGATTGCAAGCAAGCATTACTTTAGTGTTCAAGTAAGACCTTACCAATAGATGACCATTAGGGTCAAAATCCCTGGGAGTGCAACCTCCAGCAAAATAACAAGAACATCAGACTCCTTTTCATCACCGGCAACGAGTGAAGAGGTAAATGTGTAAAACAACAACGTTTATTTATGGTGAAAGTTTTGTAACCGTTTGTTACAAATCAGTACAATTTTTCCCACAGCATTTTGTCCTTACGGGCTACAGTAGAAGAAAACATGGCATCCTATATGGCGTCGCCCAGAGACTTAGACCCGCTCCCA